GTGCTACAGGTGATGTTCTTTCATCCATGCCGAGATGTCTGCCAAGCAGCCTGAGATCCATGCAGCTGCTGTTGGATCATCTGGTTGAAATGAAAGATAGAGCTGTGTGCAATGTTTCCTCTAATTTTTTTTCTTGCTGAGCAAAACTTTTCTCTATTGGGTGGACATTTCGGCCACTTGATCAAAAACATTCTTTATACCAGACCTGTACAGTGCACACACAAAAAAGTGTGTAACGTTTAACTTTCATGTGCTATTTATATTTGATTTGACCCTTGATGTAACTAAATAATGCACATTTTAGGTTACCTGAGAAAACTTTTTTTTTGCAGAGCTGTTACACCAAGAAATTCCTTTAAAAATTGTTTTTTTTTTTAAGAATATCACACATTCTAGTTAAATTCTTTATAATAATATAATATAATATAGTATTATATAATATAATATATTATAATATAATATGAAAAAATGAAAAAAAAAATGAATGCCGATATCACTCATGAATTCCCTTTTTGAGGTCATTTATTTATTAGGTTTATAATATAACATAATATAAAAACAAACTGAAACATTTAAAGTGAGTGTAAACTAAATATTTTTTAAAAATGTGAACATGTGAATTCTTCATTCTTATATAGTTATATAAGTAGAGTTTAGAGTAGTAGAGTTTGCACACTACTACACCTGTGTGTGACTGTAAATGTCTCAGTGTTTCTCATCATCCACTATTTCCAGCACTTAATCAAGCCATTCTTCTTTAAAACACGATGACCATTTATTTCACGTCATTGCGTTTGCATTGGCTCTCGTGTTAAAGGGGTCATATGATGCGATTTCAATTTTTATCCTGGGAGAGTAGACTACAATGCCGGCTGTTCTGACTCACGGACAGTAAGTACTTTTTTTATATTTAAAGAGGTTTTATATTTTATATATTTAAAGTTAGTTTTTTGGGCAGTGTAGAGTAAGGCTTGTTGTTTGTTATTTCTCCGATCACAAATGCAGAGATGTACAGTATGTGGAAAATAATGTGTTTTTTGAAACTTAAACCACATAAACACATTTGATTACACCAAATACACAAAATCATTTTCTTTTTAGCAACATCATATGACCCCTTTAAGCTATTTCGTCCGCAACCAATAAAGTATTTGATTTCTACAGAGACTCATTTGGCAAACATCATTCTCTTTCTATGAAACCTGTAAACCACATTCACCGGTTCCCAACTAATTTTTGCGTCTGTCCTGTGCATGGCATATTATTTCTCCTGTGCGGCTGCACACGTGCACAGATTAGAATCTAAGCATTAGATGGAACAAGTCAAGTAAAGTCACCTTTATTTGTATATCGCTTTATACAATACTGGTTGTGTCAAAGCAGCTTTACAGTGTTAAACAGGAAACCAGTTTGTCAATAATGCAAGAAGACAATAACAATCAGCAATCAGTCAAGCGTCCCCAACTAAGCAAGCCAAAGGAACCAAAACTCCATCGCTGACAGAAATGGAGAAAAAACCTTGGGAGAAACCAGGCTCAGTCGGGGGCCCAGTTCTCCTCTGGCCAGACAAAACCGGCATGGCGTGGTTTAATTCCAGACTGCAACTCAGGTCAGATTGTGCAGAGGACTTGTCTGGTTCCCGTGGTCTTGTGCCTTTGGTCGTTGAGGTGATGAGGTCTTCACTGTCTCTGGGGCGCATCTAGTGGACATGCTCTCCGCTGACATTCAGGGTTGTAGAGGTCGTGTCTAGGTGCTGATCCACCATCTGATCTGGATACAGACTGGATCTGGTGGCTACAGTGACCTCGGAATAAGAGAGAAACAGACTAATATTAGCATAGATGCCATTCTTCTAACGATGT